TCTCGCTCTCTCTATTCTTTTCTCTCTGGGGTTCCTCCCTACCAGCCCGCCAGAATCATGCTGACCGTAATTCCATACGTAGCATCACGCTGCCGCTGCCGCTGCCGCTGCCGCCGCCGCCGCCGCCGCCGTCATCATCATCGTCATTGTTATTATTTATGCTCCGTCGTAACCCCGTCGCTCCTATTTATTATCTTATTATTGTTATTATTTGTGCCCGATTTTAAATGACGTAGGGATGAGAGATTGGAGAAGAGGAGGGAAAGGAAAGTGAGAGTAGGGGTGAAGAGGGGAGGGGTGGAGAGAAGAGGGAGGGAGGGTAGGGTAGAAGAGAGGAGAGAAGAGGAAGGAAGAAGAGAGAAAACCTGAGGGGCGGGGAGGGAAGGGAAGGGCAAGGGAGAGGAGGAGAGGAGAGGATTATGCTTGTGATAATTATGCGAGTTCCGCCGAGAGTTAGATTTCAGAGGAGAGTTAAGAGGAGGGGAGGGGAGTGAGGGAAGAGGAGGGGAGTGACGGAAGGGAAGAAGGAGGGGAAGAAGGAGGGGAAGGAATAGGAGGGGAGGGGGAGGTGCGGTCCAGGTGGCGACTCACGGTGTGTGTTCTGTAAAGAAAATCATTAAATACGGAGACGCTGCGCATGCGCGCGTCCCACGGAATTTCGCGAGGTTACAGGTGCGGAGGTGGATACGCGTGCGTGCGTGCGTGCGTGCGTGCGTGCGTGCGTGTATCTGCGCTTCGTTAATTAGCGAATATTATGTTACGTTAATAATGTTTTGTTTTCTCTCGCAGCTGCTCAGCTCGCCATGAGGGACACTGGCCGTGGTGCGTGCGTGCGTGCGTGCGTGCGTGCGTGCGTGCGTGTATCTGCGCTTCGTTAATTGGGGAATATTATGTTACGTTAATAATGTTTCGTTGTCGCTCGCAGCCGCTCAGCTCGCCATGAGGCACACTGGCCGTGGTGCGTGCGTGCGTGCTTCCCTGGCGAAACTTCTCTGAACTTCCTTCCCTCTTCTATTCCCCCTATTTCTCCGCTTTTCTCTCACGTCTCCTCTCTTCCCGCCCACCTCCTCTCTTCCCTTTTCTCTGCTCCGAGCTTTCTTTTCCTCTCTTCTCCACTGCTGTTCAATCTTACCCTCTTCTCCACTCTTCTTCCTTTAATAATAGAGTAATATATATTTATTATTAAACACTCCTGATTATATATATCACGGAATATCTTTGTCTCTGTCGCAGGTATAGACTTTACGGCTAGCAACGAGTGGCAGGGCCGCACGACGTTCGGCGGTCAGTCCTTGCACGCCACGCACCCGACCAAGCGACTCTTCAACCCTTACCAGAAGGTCATAGCCATCGTCGGCGAAACACTCGAACCGTTCGCCGACGACAAGAAACTCATTCCGACGTTCGGTTTCGGCGACGTCGCCACGCGCGACCGCGACGTGTTCACATTCCACAACGACGGCTCGCCGTCAGAGGGCGTCTACGACGTGCTGCAGTCGTACAACCGCATCGTGCGCGACGTCGTGCTGAGCGGGCCGACGAGTTTTGCCCCGCTCATACGGCGCGCGATCAACATCGTCAAAATTACGGGCAGATATCACATCCTCGTCGTCGTTGCCGACGGACAGATGGCGGTAGAGTCGCCGACGATGCAGGCGATCGTCGACGCGTCTGCGCATGCGCTCAGCATCATCATGGTCGGCGTCGGCGACGGGCCGTGGGAGGTGATGGAGGAGTTTGACGACCAGTTACCCGAGAGACGTTTCGATAACTTTCAGTTCGTCAACTTCCACCAGATGACGCGTAAGGTGAAGAACCCTGAGGCGAGCTTCGCGCTGCACGCGCTCATGGAGATACCGGCGCAGTACAAGACCATCCGCTCGCTCGGTTACCTAGACGTCGCAGCCGACAGCGACGACTCCGGCGCTGCTGGTGGCGCCATCTACGGCGAGAAGAGCTGAGGTCCGGGGTGGGATGCTGCGTCCGCGTGGCGGCGCCAGCGTCGAGATATTGCGGAAGCGTGGTTGTCTTTTGCCGTGATGAGCCGCAGAAACGCGTCCTGTGAAATCTCATTGGTTGCTGAAGTTAGGCGGGACTGTTGGAATCTGACTACTATAATGGGAATTCCAAACGCCTTACGGAAATAACCGCGGGCATGCTGGGATACAGCTACGGACGGTTATATTAGTGCCCGTCTTTCACACCAGGCGGCGTTCCGCCTAGCTCAAAACCAGCGCGACTCTGCTGCGCCTTCTGGCGGTAGGAGGACATTGTAGACAAATCAGCAAGTAACTGCTGCGGCTGGCGACCGCTGGATGGATTTCTATAGGTGTCTGATGTGTGCTTTTACGGTGCGCGCGTGTGTGTGCGTGCGTGCGTGCGTGCGTGCGTGTATGACGGATGATGGTAGACTTGATGATGATGGTATTTCAGCGTCTTTCGTTCAGATGTAGTGGTGGTGGTGGTGGTAGTGAGGGGAGCTCGATCCACTCGTCACTACACGGAGTAGTACTACTCGAGTAGATAGGATCTGTCTGTCTGTCTGTCTATCTGTTTCTCTCTTTCTCCCTCTTGCTCTCTCTCTCTCTCTCTTTCTCTACACACGATGCCGCACAATGCAGTCAAGAAATGGAAAAACTTTCAATACAGCAAATGGACCGTATTTAGATCCTATACTTTCACCCGCCCGCGGCACAAAAATGTGGATTTTACGCCTATAATACATCGCGCGGCGCCGAGCGTGCGTGCGGACCATACCCGCGTGTGCGCCGCGCCGGTCGCGTGTGTGTGATGTGTGAATCTGTGACTGTAAAAAACGTCGTATTATAGCCGGAAATCCACATTGTGTTTGCGGAGATGAAAAATTGAGCCGTAAATACAGCGGCCATTTGCGTGGTCACGATTTCATAGCTTGAGTGCTCGTGGGCGATAGCGAGTGGCAAGAAGGGGAGGCAAAGGTATGGAATAGAGAAAGAAGGGGCAGAATGAAGAGGAGAGAAAAGAGGGAGGAGCGGAGGGAGGAAGGAATGCAGATTGGAGATACAAAAACGAGAGATCGCACGTACATATCACCACAACAGCACGGAGGCACGCAACGCACAGCACACGCGCGGGGAAGACTGTAAGAGAACATAAGATTGGATGCAGGACTGAGTATGTAGTACTGGGAGATTACAGAAGCAAATCATGAAGCTGTTATGCTGGCTACTGCAGCAATAAATACTCACATATATTTAATAATGCAATAATTCATGGGCATGTATACAATATGATGGGCTATAACACGAGTAAGTCATCAAACTGCAGAAGAAACCCTCTACGTGATACACTTATTACTGTTCACCCTCTTCCTCATAGTTGAAACTAATTCATCACAACACTCGCGGCGCACGCGGCGCACTGCACTCAGCACGCACGGACACATACACATATACACGCGAAATGCGATCATTTAAAATCATAAGTGTGATGATTACCAAATACAGCCATCGCCAGTAACTATAATTGCAATCACGTTTATCACACACATTTGTCAGTTAATCAAAATAAGTCAATGTGCTGTCAAAATTTTGACTTCGAATACTTCAGATAAGACAATATTCTAATAGATCACTCGGACGTCAACTTTTTTAATTTCAGCTATCCCAAGATGGAAGCACCGCATAGTACATTAACGTTTTTAATCGCAAGATTTTAGCGTGATAGCTGCTCCGAAAAACAACAAGAATAAAAGTTAACGCCTTTAATGTTTCAGTACG